GTGCCTTGCAGGGCAGTGTGAACAGCAGGTGACACCGCCAGGGCTCAGACCTAGGTGTGAATGCTGGTAATTGGGACAGGCAGGTGAGAGCTGGAGGTTTTCCATGTGCTGCCAGTGTTTGTGTCTGTGCAGTAATTAATTCCCCAGCACAGCCACCCCGACAGGGCGAGTGACAGGATCCGCCTGACCTAGTTCCTCCTGCGCAGCTTGTGTGGTGTAACAGGTTGTGGCCAACACCCACTGCCCTCCCCAGCCTGTCAAAAAAAGCCTTAAACACTGAAAAGCTGCTCAGCTTTCCGCACTGCTGGGATGTGCCAGCCCATCTCCCTGGCTGCCAGGACACACAGCAAGGATGCTGCATTCCTGGTGGGAATCACCTCGATGCTGGATAAGGGCACGGGGGTGCTGGCACTGCTTTGTTCACTTGTGCTGGGTCCACACCCAGCTAATTGCCTGCCTTGGTTTGAACGTCTTGGAGACGTTTGAGTCCTTTCTTTCCCTCTGACTAATTGCACCCTTCTTTCAGCTTTTTTTAAATCACCTTTCGGTAATCACTGGTAATTACATTCAGTCTTGTGGCTGTCTCGAGGCTATTCAATCATAGTGTGTGCATTTTTGGGGGTGTCTTTGGCTAACACAAATTTTTAAGGAATTAGTCTGAGGGAACAAGCATGTCGATCTCAGTTCTCAAATCTGCAGGTGAAATGATTTTGTTGTCAGCCTTTAACCTCTGGAGGTTATATGTGGTTTGAACAAACCATGTCCATTTCTACTTCTTTCTTTGGCTCTAAAGAGTTAAACATGACAGTTCCTGTGTGTGCTTATATTTTAGATCTGCTTTAATCTGTGTTTACAGCCTAAAGATTTTCTTAACACAGTTAATGCTCATCTGACTATCATCACTCTTGATCTGAGTTTTCATCAGGATTTCACACTTGTATCTCTATGGCAGTAAATTCTGGTGTTGTTGCTGTGTCTAATGAGGGTTCACTGCTCTATTCATGACCAAGCTTGTGATTTTTATCACATTCTATGTCTGTGCAGCAAGACTTGAGCTCCTATCTGAACTGGGGGCTAAATTCTGCCCATGGGCACTGAAGGTTGAGTTGGTTTTAACCAGATGCTGACGTAGTGATGTACTCCTGCTCTACAGTAATTGCCAGCCAGTTTGGACACCTGCTGCAGCCTTTTATTACTCTGATGTTTATCAGGATGACAAAAGCCACCACCTGAATCCGCTGGACCAAGCTCAGTGTTTAGATAAGCCAGTGGTCTTCTGGCTGAATCTATCTCACTGGTTAAAATGATCAGCCCCTGTGCAGACTCTAATTGAAAAATATCAGTTTCATCCCCTCCCTGGAGCTGCAGTCACCAGTCTGCTTAAACTCATTTACATCCCAAATGTAGAAGACTTAGATTCCATTATCTGAATGACATACATCTACTTAACCTTGTGCTGGTGACCTTGTTCCCACTTGAGATAAATCTAGGAAAACCTTCCACCTTCATCTTCAACACGTGGCTGTGGGAACACTGGCTGCCCTGGCTCTCAGGGCCCCCCACTTGCTCACTGAAGTCTCTGCTGGAATTACCCTGGCAATGACAGGCAATGCAAATTAATCTTCTTACAGTCATTTTCCTCATCTATTTTTGAAATCTGACCTTGCTGATAAAGCAATACTAAGACAGAAACCCCCATCTGCCAACCTCCAGGCTGAAGGATGATTATAAAATCAAAATATTGCCTGAGTGAGTGGGAAGAGTCATGGTCCTGCACTTCAGAGCAACACATATCACTGTCTGGATTTGTGTCAAGCCAAACTCCATGACAGCCCAGGGCAGAGCTGGATTACATTACAGCAATGGCCAATTGGTGAGCCAGATGGCAAATAATGTTACATTATGATGAAAAAGTACTTCCAGGCTCAGAGGGAATTGTCCAAGACACTGTCACTTGGAGAGCATTAGCCTGTCAAACACAGGCTGAGCTGGGCTTTGGCATCCTTTGCTTCAAATCCTTGCTCTGCTACTTAGCTACTGCAGGACTTCAGGGCAGTCCCTTCACTTCCCTGCACCTTCTCTTCTGTGTTTTTTTAGTCCTTTTAAAGGGTGGGCTGTTCTTGGGGTTGGTTGTTTTTTCTGGTTTTTTCTCCTGTGCCTTTCTTAGAGTGGCCCCAGTCTCCTGCCACTGTTACTGGGTGGTGACACAGGACAACAACTAGGGCTGGTGCACCCCGTTCTGAGGTTTGCAGCAGCTGGACAAATATGATGGCAGCCCTGCTCCTGGGATGATATGTTAGTCCCCTTTGCTTGGTCAAGACACCTGCAACATCTTCAGGAGGTCAGGTTAGGGAGGACCCTCTTACCTCTTGACTCCTTTACAGCTTCTAAGCAAATTTGAAACTGAGGGCACTGGCACAGCAAATCCCTCATTATGAAGGCAAAGGCTGAAACTTCCTCACCTGGAGAAGCCAGTCCCACTTCGTGCTCTCTTTGGTCTCCTAAAATCTGAAATGAAGTGATTTGTGGGATCGCTGTTAACACTTGTGGCTGTGCCACAGCAGCCAGTAAAGTGACCAGAGTTTCTTAAAGCCAGCGTCTAGGAAAAAGCAAATAAACACAGAAGAGCAGCCTCGTAATTATTCTTGCTAATTAGTTAATGGCTGTGAGGTGCTTTGAAGATGAAAAGTGAGGAGGTGCTTGGTTATTAAGTCCCAAACACCCCTGTAAGGCCAGCAGCAGCTCTTGCTGTGGGTCAGCAGAGACTCTGCTGCAGCAGCTCATCAGGTGCTGCTCTCCTTATCTGGGAGCCAGCAATAAATCAAGAGGGCTTTGGAGAGTTAAATCTCCTTGAGTTTCTTGTAGGCTTAAAAGGCAATGAGCCCCATGTAGCTGACTCTGCCTTGGGGCAGGGCAAGGGTCTTGGTGAGCTTTTAAAGCCCCCTTCTGTCCCTGTTTTCCCTGATTTTTTGATCCAGGGGTGGCTTTGCTGAGGCAGATCTCACCTTTCCTGCTGAGCTGAGGTTCCCTGTGATGGCATTTTCTCATATCTGAGTTCTTTGTCTGCTGGTGAAGGACACCATGGTGCTGGGGTGACCTGATCTCCTGTAATCCTCTCACCACCACAGCTGGCATCAGAGGTTGCTTGGGCAGATGCAATTTAAGCTTTCAAAAAGCCAGCTCAGATGTGCATGACAAAGACTAACCTGATACAGTCCTGGAAGTAACAAAGTGCCTTAAAGTTGCACCTATGTGAAGAGCTTCTGGGCTGCAATCTTGCCTCTTTTCTTAAGCACAAACATGAAAGGGATCTGAAGGAAGGATGCACTTCAAGCCATTTTTTTCCCCTTAACTTGTGATGTGCCCCTCCTCTTCTAATGAAATATGTCTGGGAATGCTTTGGGGGCTACTCCTGCATAGCTGGTGCCACACCTGTTGGGAAGGGGAAATTCCTCTTGGTCTGCCTGTCAGAGAAGCCTGGGGGAGTGCTGCTGCTGGAATGTTTTATTGACAAAGCTGGCAAAAACACTTCCTTTCCATGAAAATTGAATTATTTGTTTGTTCAACTTTTGAATTTAGTCTCTGTGGGCCAGACCTGCAGCTGTGGTAAATTAGCTCAGCTCCAGATGTGCCCTAATATATTTTGAGATGTCATTTCCCTGTATCTGTATGTAATTCTGTAGATCTTGCTGCTGCCTTGGTTTTGGCATTATTTCAGCTTTCAGTCTGCTTTGTCTCCTCATTCAGCCAAGAGATCCTGGGGGCTAAGGATGTGTTGGGATCTCAGTGACATGAGGCAGGCATCATGTCCACTATCTGCATTTGCAGAAGGTCAGTAAGAAAAATCTGTGTTCCTGGGCTGCTCCATAGGCTCAGTTTTGTGCTTTGCCCACTGTTTGCAGGAGGAGTAAAGGAGTGCAACTGTCAGTGCATCTCCTTTATTCTTCCAGTGTCACTGCTGGTCCCAGAGTAGAACCAAGGGCAGGGGGTTTTCCTGGTAAGAAACTAACCTGGAAAGTTTGTACTTAAGCTTGTAAGCAGGAGAAAAAAAAATCCAGGATCCTCATGTAGCTTTAATACTTTGGCACTTGTGCAGTTTCTGAGTACTTAGTACTGTTAGGACAGGGCTGGCTTTGGGGTGGGCTCAAGGCACAGGAGATTTCCAGCATGGGGTCCATGCAGTTCTTCTGATTGCTCTAGAGCTCCAGTGGAGCTGGAAGAAATGAAAGCTGTAGGATGCAGGCTGAGCAGGACAAAGGACTCAGTTATGCTGTCCTTGTGATTAATCAGTATGGCTGGTTTAGCAGCAGGGGGCTGTGTACCACAATCACAACAAACAAGGAAGGGCCCTAAAACTGTAAGCAGTAAAACTCTTTATGGAGAGATGGATGTAGTTCCTCGGTTTTCTCGTGGCTGGGCCAGGGCTATCCCAGTGGATAGATGCACCCAAACTCAGCTTCTGTGCTCTGGAGAGCACAGGAATGAGCTGGGAAATAAATAGATTGTTTGCAGATGGTGTCAGGGGTTTAGGTCTTGTCTGATACTGCTACCTGTGGAGCTGATACGTGCTCATAGGTGCCATCCAACCATGTATCTGCCATACCCCATCCCTGCAAGTGTTGAATGCCAGGGCGTGGAGTAACCTGGTCTGGTGGAAGGTGTCCCTGCCGGGGGCAGGGGGCTCGGGGGACGCTTGTTAAGGTCCCAAATATGATTCCAACCCAAAGCAGTCTCTCCTTCCGTGACCTGCGCCCCTCACCCCGGGGAGGGGGTGTGTGCATTAAAACCCCCCGGTTGCTGGACGGCAGAGGCGGTGGGCTCGGCCGCAGTGGCACGGAGCAGCATCCCTTGAATCGCGGCAGCAGGCGCGTTTGTGCGGGCGGAGGGCAGGGCTGGGGCCGGGGAGGACGGGCGGTGCGGCGGGGGACGCGGGGCGGGAGCGGCGCCGCCTCTGCCCCCTCCCCTCCCGCCCGGCTCACGCTCTGCTCTCTCCGGCACAGGGGCAGATCGAGGTGGACAGCGAGACCGTCTTCAAGTTGGCCGCCCTGGTGCTCCAGGTGAGTGTCTGCCCCCGGGTTTGGCTCAGAGCGTTCCCCTTCCCGGCGTTTTCCCCCCCGCTCCCTAGGGACGAGCCCCGCGGGGTTGTTTGTGGTCTCCGCGGCTGGGGAGCTCAGAGGAAGCTGGAACGAATAGGAGTTTGTTTTCTCATAGGCGAGTAAGAGAAATATTTGTTTGAGGAGTTTTAAATTGAAAGAGTGAGAGCTAATCAAGGGAAGTAATTTATCTGGGCAGGTTTCCATTCAATTTATCGCTTAGCCTAATTTAAATACATTCCAGAGATGTGGGAAGAAAAGTGTAAATATTGTAGCGAAACCAGCTATATTATGCCTGTGAATCTTCTTTTCTGAGCATATGGTTTTGATACCTTTGTTATGTTAAGATACACAGTGTCAGTTTTCCCTTTCATTAATCTAGTTTTCTTTTACTGAGACTTAAACTCCAGTTATTTACCACTTTCTATGAATTCTACCTTTAAAAAATTGGGGCTTTTCCCCCATTGCATTGTCATTGACAAAGTGCCACAGCAAAGCTGCAGCAGCAGCTTGATCTGCCTGAACAGTTGTTTTCATCTCGAGTGAGCACAATTCTTCCCAACTGCTGACCTGACTGTACAGCCAACCTTTGCCTGAATGGGAGAGGAGGGAGAATTGTATTTCACTTCTTGTGCAGTAAAAGCGACATTTGATTTGCAATGTGAAACTCATCCCCTTTTTGGAAGCAGTTTTATTTGTGCTGTGGGTGGATTGTCTTCAGCTGGGAGCATGAGGGGCCAAGTCCAGCTCTTGAGCACATGCAGGCAGGATTGGTGTTTTGCAGGGAGTGTGGTGGGGGTCAGGATCTGCCTGCGGAGCTGTGGGAGTGGGGAAGTGAACAATGCTGGGAAAACCGAGGGTTTTGAAGAGATCATGTTTTAATTCTGTCACTGTTTTTCAATTGTAGGAAGCTAAAGGGGACTATTCCAGGTAATAACATTTTCCTTTCTAATGCTGGTGTGCTTGATGGATGTGTTTTTCTGTGTTGGCATTGTATTGCAAACAATCACAAATGGGGGTAAAGTCCAGCTGCGAGCAGTGCCCGAAGAAAGTGAAATGTGCTGCTGGGCTGGATAAAATCTGAGTCTGCAGGGTGAGTAATGCCTTTTGTGAGCAAGCTCTGAGTCAAAACAGTGTTTCAGGCCACCACGCTCTGCTCCCCTCCCAAGTGTGGGTGCCGCAGTGGGAGAAGGGGAAAGCTCCCACACTCCCCTGCCGGGAAAACTTGTGCTTTGCCAAACTTTTGCCAAGCAAAGCATTGCCTGTGCTTCTGCTGACCTGTGTTTGGGTCCGTGTGGGTGACCTTGCCCACAGCCCTGCCCGTGCAGTGGCAGCACGTGCAGGGACACAGCCATCAGCTGCCCCTGGGATCAGTGAGCCATGTTCTCCTGCAGCTGCCCCGGGGCCTCTCCCTCCCCACACTTGACCCAACAGTTGTGTTCTGGCTGATGTGCAACCCCCTTGAGCTGTTTAAAGCTGCATCATCAGGTCTGGCTTCCCCTTGGAGGTGCTGCTTACCCAGCTCTGATTGTGATAAGGGGCTGCGGGGGAGCAGGTGGGGTCACCTGGAGCTGCTGGAGCCATGGGGAAAGACCTTCCATTAGAAACAGCTCACTAAGCAAATAGAGATTCAGAAGATTGGCTTTGGTCATGTTAATATTTTACTGCTTGCTGAGTTTCCATATGGGGGGAGAGGTGTGTTTTACACTTTAGCTACAGCAGCTTTGGAGAGCATCCAGTACAGACCTGTGTGCCCAAATGCAGGGAGCAAGTCACATTTGACTGCCAGAGTGGCTCTGCTTTCCCTTGAGGGGGCAGTTGTCAGGTAAATGCCAGTGCCAATCCCTAGACCCCTTCCCTTCAAAGGCTTGTCCATTCCCTGCCAAAGGGCACGCTCTGTGAAGTCCATCAAACCTCCTCCTCCTGTTTGTTGGCATCCTATCACAGGTGACTTTGATCAGCTGGGTGGGCTGGCTGTGCAGACCATTTCTGCTTCTGTTCATGCTGTAGACCTGCTCTGTGACCCCCAGTATACTGCTTATACCTGCTGTATGCTGCATTTTTCTCTAGTAAGACCCCTTATCTTGCCTGATCTCTACAGGGACGCCCTAAGCTTAGCTCAGTTAGGCCCAGATAACCAGAAAATCACTGCTGACTCCACAATAAGTAACTTGTTAAGCTGTAGCAACCGGTGGCACAATTTTCTTGATTCTCAAGAACAGGGGCTAATGTTAAAAACCACCTTAGTGGTGAAAAGCTCCCTTATGTGGTTTAAACTTAACACAGCCTCCTTATCATTTGCCATAAATAGGTTTGTAAGTATGGCTTCACGAGCCCAGGAACTGTGTCTGTGGCTGTTTTCCATGCTTCCCTGGACACGTTGCAAGGGGTGGATTGCCCGTGGTTACCTTCAGAAGTATTTAAAGAAAATTGTAGGGAAGAGCACTCTGCTACAAGAGTGATTTGTAAACGCAGTTCTTCCCTGAAGAGTTGCATGGAGATAGCTGCAGCAATTGTTTCCTCTGTTAAACTGAACATGTGTTATGTCCCCGTGGCAAATGAGCACAGCCAGCTGTCCCAGGCCCAGTGAGCACACCAGGAGTGAAGGAATTTCATGTCACATATCACAAGTGGTCCTTTGGGCCAGTGCTGATAAAGCCTGGCTTAATTACCAGCATATCTTAACGAGGACACCAAAGGAGTGGCCTCCACTGCACAGCTTGCTTTGCTGCACAGACTGTGTCCCTGAGCAGGGCTCTTGTGCAGTGGGATTTGCCTCCCTTTGCACTGTCTTGAGTTTAGAGTGTTCTCTGCTCGCTGTCATTTGGACATTCTGCTTTGAATCACCTTCTGGAATGTGGCTCTTGCACCACCTCAGCTTCCGTGAGAATGTGCAGGTTGATTTTTTTGATACTGGATTAGTGCTGAATGAGCGCAGGAATTGCCTGAAGTCCTGGAGATTAGCTCTGTGGAAGTGAGGATTGGGCCAGTCCAGGCAATGCTGGGGATCTCTTCCTGTCTGATTTTTCCCACACATCCCATAGGCAGCTTTTCCATGGGGACACATCCTGTGGTGGGGTCACCGTGTGGCATTCCCACTGACGTCAGCTCCGTACCAGGGCCCGAACACGGCAGACTCCTGTGGTTCTACAGGAACCTCTTTCCCAATCCACTGCTCAAATTCCCAGATAACACCCTGATGGCAGGGAGCAGCAGCCTGCTGAGAAACACCCTCCCCTGGCCCATGCTGAGTGGGTGAGCACATTCCTTGGAAATCTGTTTCTTTTCAGTGAGCAAACCTGACACGTGGGCTCTTGGAGAAAGTAAAAAACTTTCGATTTCTACACCACCAAGGTCACTCAGGAGGGGCTTTGCAGTCTGGTAGCACTGGCAGCCTGGGAATAGCAGGGACTTTGGGGTTTGGTCTTTGCAGGTGTTTTGCAGGACCCCAAGGTCCTGAGCTGGGCTCTTACTGGATGGGGGTTTCACAGAACCATGGAATGGTTTGGGTTGAAAGAGACCTTAAAAATAATTTTGTTTGTGCCTTCTTATTTGGGGAGAGGCTTTATGTAAGATGAACCACAGATATCCCACTTTGGGAGTACCCTAGTTTTGAAGACATGCTTATGATTTAGGAAGAGGCTTTATGTAAGATGAACCACTCAAATCCCATTTTGAGAGAACCCTGGTTTTGAAGATGTTTATAAAACTTAAGTGCATGCTTCAAAATTGCATCCCCAGCATGTCCTGATTGGATAACTCTAGATTCTCAAAGGCAGCCATGACTGGCGTTGGGACACAGGAGGAATGAGGAGCAGAGGTGGCAGCAGGCCACCATGTACCCATTTCCTTTTCCTGTTTACCCAACTGGTGATCCCAGCCAAGATAATTCCCTGCTGTGTGTGATGAAGAGGATGTCACAGGGATGCCCAGTGGGCTGTCCCTCTCCCCATTACCTGGGATGGTGTCAGGGCTGCCCTGAGCAGAGCAGGTCAGTCCTGCAGCCCTGCTGTGCCCAGGAGGGCTGGGATGCTGCAGATTCCTGCCCCTCTGCCTTCCTGGGCAGCACTGGGCACACTTTGCTCAAGAGGAAGGATGTAACACTGGCTCATGTTTGCTTTTCACGACTCATGCATGGCTTCCAGTTGACTGCTTCTGTGTTTAAGCTGAGTTCCCAGCACTTTTTACCCAGCTCCTGCAATAGGAACCCCAAGCAAGCGTTAGTCATTGGTTGGAGTTTTGAAACTCTGCGTGAGTTAATTGCGTTTCTCCACTCTCCTATTTGCAAATGAAACAAAAATCTGCAGGCCTGGTTTTATGAAATCTTGGTTTTTAAACTCTATGCAAAGGTTTTAGAAAGATAATGTGATTCAAATTGCAGCTTCTGGCATGGCTCAGTTTTGGGGGGAAAACGTACATATTCTGTTTATTTTAGGAATTCTATTTGAATTTTAAAGAGACAGTGTTTTGGCAGTCTGTTAATTATTCATGTTGTAGATATATGACATATAAAGCCTGGCCTCCTTGGGAAATAAATGATTTAGCTGTATTTAGTTTACAAATTAAGCATCTGCCCGCAAAAATGCTGTGAAATACTATATACTTTTTTTTTTCCTGTGTAGCTTGACGAGAGAGACAGTTTATAACTTAGAAGTCCTCAATGCTGTCCTAGCACTGGAAAAATGTTTATCAAAATCAGATTAGCTACAGGGACTATATAAGGAAAGCAACTTTGAAAAAAAAAAAGTTTATTTTCTGACTGGAAATCTTGGACCGTGTTTTCCCCAGTACCATTTCCAGGACTGAAACCCAGCCATGCTCCCTGGAAGTTAATTAAATTGCTGGAGGAGGGCTTCTATTTTCTTTAAATAGCTGACACATTCGTTTTTGATTCTGGCCTGTGGGCTGCAAAGATAACTCCCGACTGGTATAACATAACACAGACAAAATAATGAATTCCTGATAGCTGACATGTGCAAGGCACCGGGGTTTATCGTTATGGGGGTGATAAAGAGAAGTTTGTAAAAGGGAAAGGTTTGGATGAGAGATAGCCCTGCAACTGAGGCTATGGAGTAATTGGTTCAGAAACTCCTGAATTTTAAAATCCTACTTAGAAAAAAGCAAAGTTCTTGATCTAGGTGCAGAAAGTAGTATTAACAATTTGCTCTTAATTAAGAGTGCTCAGAGTGAGAGTTTTGGGTACTGTTTTTTTGGGAAGCTGAATATTTTGCCAAATATTGAAGATCTCTTGGTAGAAAAGAATGTGGGAAAGATAACATGGGCAGTGCAAGAAAATAGCTGTTGGAAAGAAGTTAATAATTGTCTGATAGCAAAGCACCTGCTCACTCTACCGCTAACCCCAAGATTAAGGTACCCTCAGGAGCAGGACACACCTGAGGTCTGTTGGAGGTGGCTTGTCCAGCCTGTTTCTGGGAATTTTGCCAGGTTCATGTGACCAAAATTCCAGGTGTGGCCACGCCCAGGACTGGGGTTGGAGCAGGAGGACAAGTTTGGGGATGAATTAGAAGGGGACATCTCATCTGGCAGCCAAAGACCAGAGCCCAGTCTGGATCCTGTTTCAGCCCCAACTATTTCCTCACACCTGTGTCAGTGGGTGATACAAAAGAGCTGGTGGGTCACCAGAGGATTCACTCTCCGAACATCCATCTGGTGCCTGTAGCAGCGCTGTAGTTTAGTTTCTGATGTTCTTTTCCATGCAAATGCACTCTTCAAATGCACTGATATCCTGAGCCTTTTTGCAGGCTGCCCCCAGCTCCCCGTGGGCTGTGTCTGCCTGGCTGTAAATCAGTGCTCAGCTCTGGCGCTGCCTTGTGCCCCTTGTGCTCCTGGCCCTTGTTTGCCAAGTGACTCATTGTGTGCTTTGCTTTTCAGCTGTGACTCCCAGCACTTTTCTTTAAATACCTGGTGAG